AAATAAACTTTAAACTTAGTTTTTTTTGCTTCTAATGATACTAAGCGTAGTTCTTGACCACTGTGGCACTGTCTGCCTGGTTAACTTATGAGAGATTTATGAAATTAGACACTTTGTCAAAACTTGTTACAAAAAAGATACTTACCAGGGATAAGGCACTCTGTCCTGTATTTTGGATTTATATAGTCGATTATACCCTTAATGAAGAGTGAATGTAAATCGATTGGAAGACAATGATTTTTTTGCCGGTGTTTGGTAAAGTGATGATGAGGACTGTATTATTGTGATCAGCAAACATCGAACGGATCTGATAACACCATATTTACTTTTAGTGTGGCTAAAGTTAGACCTTTAATTTTATATGTGTCGTCGATTGTTTTTGGTTCTGGAAAACTTAATTTGTCTGTGCGTATGTGATTGGCATGAGACTATGTTGCCGTAATATTACTGATTGTTTTGGATATTGAGGGTAACTATTGTTGAATTTGTACACAGAAACAATAGTTTATGGATGAATATAAAATGATCGATTGTGGTGGATGAGGGTGAAAGTGGTCGATGCATAAGGGTGGTGGGAAAAGGATCTATGAGACTATAGTGGATAATGTTATGGATGAGACTGGTGAATTGTTTTGATGTGTGGATGTGATTATGTAGACTTGGTGGCTAATGGATGATCTAGATGGACAAGTTTTGATGGACGCATTTTCATGGACATAAACCTTTCATTGATGGATGCACGAGTGTGGATGACCTCTTTGTGGACAATTCTGATGGACGACTATGATGGCCGAGTGTGGACGGCTTCTTTGTGGACGATTGTGATGGACGACTATGATGGTGTCATTCGTTATAGTTGATCAGCGCAAACGTCCACAGAAGGTCGTCCATCCAACATGTCTTCTATATTCCTCCACAATTTATTCGAAAACGCGTCCACCAAGTTCATCCATCAGCTTTGTTTATTGGGCGAAATGGATGAAGTGAGGATGTGGATGACTGGTATCTTGTGAAGTGAAACAAATACGAGATGGTAAGAATATTGTTCCTGTCGGGGCGGTTTAGCAAGAGTTAGTAAACCTGAATGTGTGGAGACGAGGGCTGGGAATTAGAAGAAACGAAACTTGGTGGAGGACTTTGGGTTTAGAAACGGGGAAAATTGGAACTCATCGGCAACTTGTCCGACACAGGCGATGACGACGTGATAGGGATGACTCGAAAGGCGTATCAATGAAGAAGAGATTCGCTGTATACGAAAGTGAATAAGATTTTTGTTAGATGAAGTTCTTGAAAATACAAAATGGTAAATGAACAATAAGGCATCAGGGGTAATTTGGTCATTATATGTTGTGTAAGTGCCTCTGTAGAACAAAGTGTATTTTTTTGTTAATGAAGATTGAAAAAATGCTTTATTTTGTAATTTTCTCTTAACTTATTTGGGACGGCCTTTAATAGGACAAGAAGAGTTTATGGATTTGTTACAAAATGCCTAACTAGTTCAGTAAAAGATTTGCAATGTATTGGTCTCTCGAAGTTAGTGATGATATTGATTGTAAATTGGACGTGACATCATTTAAATGAGGATAAAATGTTACAGAATGAATGAGCATTTGTAACTTTCAATTTCTATATATGGTTTATTTGTGGTTGTTAATTAGGTAATAAAAAGCTTTAGATCCATTGTGCCAGTCACATCCTTACTCTCAACAAGCATCTTAAGACAAGTAACCTAAACTTTCAAGTGGAGAAATTCTGCTAATGAGGTTCCAGGTCTTTTCTCTGCTACGAAAACTTGGGACTCTCTCCATCCTCATGGCCCTCCCTTGCTGTGGACTAAGTCTGTCTGGTTCTCAAAAAGGGTTCCAAAACACGCTTTCATTCAATGGGTTATTGCTAGGGACAGACTACCCACTCGAGACAGACTTCGAAGTTGGGGATTGCAAGTGCCGGACCTTTGTCTCCTTTGTAGCACAGATACAGAGACTCCTGATCATCTCTTCTTCAGCTGCCCTTTCTCGGCGTCTGTTTGGAGATCCTTCTTCTCACATCCGTCTGTAAACCCGTCTCCATCTTACGATGATATTGTCACTTGGGTAAGAAATTCGTCTCATATACCTAAGGTAACAGTTATTAAGAATCTCTTGCTCCAGGCAGTGCTTTATAAGTTGTGGAAAGAAAGGAATCCAAGCAATCCATGCAGGTTATCCGAGAGGTCCAAGTGCTCATGCGGCAGAAATTGGCGGGTCTAAACAGACCACTACAACACTCGATCAACTGTGTCCCTCATGAAGCTTCCTACCTCTCCACCTGGTTCTGCTTCTTTCGGATCTGATGGCTGCTATCACTCTCTATATATGTGTTGTTTTAAAGGATTATTAGACTTATCTTTCCTTTATTTCCTTTCTCTTTCAGTTTTTTGAGTCGGGTTGTAGTTCAAAACAATGTCTTATTTAGGGACCAGTAAAAGTGAAATAAGTTAAAAAAAAAAAAAAAACATAAACATCAAATAATCTTTAGAGTGCATATTTTCCGGGTTACTTTCCGAATTCCATGATGCTTGTGTATTTATTTCCCCAACGGTTGCCTCTTGGAGATGCCAAGGACCAAGCATAAAAAGCGCTAGACTAATTTTTTCACAATCACAATATACTGATTTACTGTTACCCACAGGATAGCAGCATGAACCGAAAACAAAACATATTGACATGGCATGTGGCCAACTACGGAGCACCATGCATGAGAGACAAAAACAAAGCTATTGTGACTTGTTTACTAAAACGACCTGAGACCGATAATTGTGTGGTAGCTGTTTCATGCTGGAAATAAGATATCGTTAATCAAAGCATGCTTCAAGCTCTTCATATCTTGACCAATAGAAACTCAATGGCTCTTTCATTTACGTCTATGAAAAGTCTTTTAAGTCTCTTATGTTTTTTTTTTTCTAAAATATTTATGTTACCCTTATGTTATCGATACTAACTAGTTTGCAATGAAAATATTCAAATATTACCAAAAAGGTGGTGGCCGAATAGTAATAAAAGAGGTTAATTCTCTTAATTCCTGGATTTAAATTTCACTTAAGCATATAATTATTTTTGGGGATAATTTTTTAAATAACTCATTTGGCAATTTTATTATGAATCACGACACTTCCTAAAATAATCTATTATTAAAAAGGTCTATTAATATGATTTTAATCTGCTGTTAGTTTATCAATAGTTTGCATTTAGTATGTCATTATTCTGGTAATAGTCTATGTTCAATTGTATGGTTTTTCATTCTGTCAGTAGTCTGCATTTAGTCTATCATTAGTCTATAAGTAAATATATAGTTACAAGGGTAGCGTTGAGCCATTGTTACAATTTTCTTTCAGTTGGGTACTTGATTTACTCTATTTTCTTATTTGGATCATTTTAGAATATTTTCTCTTATTTTTTAATCATAATATTTCAAAGTTAATTTCCGCTGTTGGAAACTTATTTGGACTTCTCCATAGTTCATCGAAAAGAAAAAGAAATTAACCATTTTAGATTTACAACTCTCTTTTCTTTTAAAAAATTATTATTTATGAACATTGTATGAGCTGCCGATATCAATATTGAACTTGGATGTAGATAGAGGTTTATAACTCTTGCTTTTGCATTTAGATGTTGAATTTGGATGTACATTTTTGATTTTGACGGGAAAATATAATTTTTTTGGTTTTTGCAGGAAGATGAAATTTTTTGGCTTTGGTGAAAAAACTTGATTTCTCTGTTTTGGCGGGAAAACACAGCTTCTCGCGGAAAAATGTGATTTTTTTGTTTTTGCGGGAAAATGCAATTTCTTTGTTTTGGTAGGAAAATGAAATTTCAGGTTTGACAAGAAAATAAATTTTTTTTAGTTTTGGCGGGAATATGTAATTTCTCAGTTTCGTAGGAAAATGAAATTTTTTTTGATTTGTCGGAAAATGCATTTCTCGGTTTTTGTAAAAAAATAAAATTTCTCTGTGCTAAATTTTCAAGTTACAATATGTTTATAGTAACGAAAATTGAATTATTTAAGTTCAACTAAATTGATATTTCAACAGTTAAAACAGAACTTTCTATTTAGTTCTAAAGCAATAGCAATGGTTTTGATATGAATATTATTGATTATAGTTTTGATAGTTTTAGAAATATATGTTTATAATAAATATTTGATAAATAAATAAATTTTATAATTTAAAATAATCATATTAATTAATATTTTTTTAAATGGCATTTGCCATTAGCATGAAGGTACTTAAAAATATATTGTTTTATTCTTACATATACATTTATAGATAGTTAGCTAAACAAATTTGATAGTAGATTATAATTTTGAAAAATAAAAAATTAAGGATTTATAATATTTATTTAGATTTAAAACATATAAATACATAACTTAAGCTAATAAAAATAAATATAATACTCATTTATATTATAAAAATAATTTTATTATATTAAAAATATAATAAATCTAGAAAAATATCCTGCAGCGTAGCACGAGTAAATACCTAGTATTTTTAATAACAGTGAATTTGATTTAGTTTTTGCAAATTCTTGATTGAACAACATGAGATTTTAAGTGAATTTAATTTATTTTATATAAAGTTTATTTTCAATAATATAAGATTTAGTAAAATATTTAGAAATCAACTAATAACATGAAATTTTAAAATAATTACGAAGTTTTAAAATTTCAATTTTAATACACGTCCGGTAGTTCTTTTAGATTAAAAAAAAAATCCTTTGTAGCCATTGTGTCTGGTTTATGGTATGCCGTGACCTCAAGCGGCCACGAGAGATCATATCTAACGGAGTATAGAGGCCTACATCGTTTATCTCTGATTTTCAAGTGGATTAGTGATATACTAGCAAACTCAGATCTTATTCATATTATTTTATAAATATTGATACACATCCTGCATATGATGTTCTTTATTGAATTATATATAAATACACGTCAATTATGTATATATTTATATACATAATCACTCATCAGTAAGGCTTCTCGTTCACATAATTTCCCGGAGGATCGTAGTTGCAAGAGATGATGGTTCCACCACTGTTACACCTCGTCTTACCACATCCGACTCTCACTGACTTTCTCCAAACAACTTGAGTGTAGTGACCGCAATCTCCATTGCACGTGTTCAAAGGGTAGTTGTAGTTAGCCTTCTCGCCAACCCACATGTTCACGGCGCCGACGCCAGATAAGCCGCGGCTATTCATGGCCAAGTTCTCCCCGTAAGGACCGCCGGAGTGTATGAGATTGCAGTCGCCTCTTAGTCGGTCCACGTAGCTCTGAGCGAAGGCTGCAACCCTATCGTCCCACTGTATGGGGCCTACTCCCACCACCTGTCGTGCTTGGTTGTGAGCATTAACGTAGTCTTGTGGTCTGTCTTGAGCTTTCGAGGGAAGGATAAGAGCTCCTACAAGGACAGACAAGATTAGTAAAAGTCGAGAAAAGTTAATAACTTTCATTTTTCTTGGTTTATAGATGGCTATTTCCAAGCTTTGTTGTGTTATGATTTTTGGGGTTCGAAAGAGTGGTTTATATAGAGAATAGAAAACTAGCGTGCGTGGGCAACTATAAAAGATAAAACATGCTTTGACTGTTTATATTGTTACCATTGGTAATGCCGTAAGACCAAGAGGAGAGCTTTCTCGAGCTCCTATTTACCATTGGTTGGGCCGTCCGTTCGACTTGTCATCTCGCCGATCATTAACAGTGTGGTTGACTACATACTTAAACCAGGTAGGTCTTCTCCATGCTTACACTTAAGGTGCTACCAGTAGCCGTGCCGTGCGGTATGGCGATTCGGCTCTGAGCCAAGTCTTACGTCAGGTATTCGTCCTATGGATTACGTCAGGTCTATAATGAGTAAGGACGTATCGTTACGAGATTGTGTGTATAAAATCGTTCCAACGGAAATTCTGATTAAGTAGTTGACTAGTCAAATAAGTTGTGGGAAAATGATCGTTAAGCTATATGACATAAAAACAATTAAAAGATGAAAATGTTTACCTTATTTCAGAATTCGGCTTATTCGATTCCACAAACCCAAATGATGACGTCAGAATTTTCAGCCAATTCCATTTCACAATTCTTTCACATTGGTGTGACAATTTTCAGCCAAACTGATGTGACCATTTTCAGTTTTAGAGGGAAAATGCGTTTCATTGGTTCATCTATTACGGAACACAAATTCAAATAGATCCATATATTGAGAAAAACGCATTTAACAGACCAGCCTGAGAATATGATTCTCTGTTCGATTATACAAAAATTTTGTTTTTAATCTCAAATATAGAATATGGATGTTTGTGAATATCTAGTTTACTAAGTATGCATTAACGTTTTATAATAGTTAACTAGATGTTTGACCTGCGAGTCCGCGCACCGTGTAGGTATATGATTTTTGAATTAAATTTTATAAATATTTAAATTATATAGTATACCGAGGTTTATTATATATTATGTTATAAGATAAGTTTTCTGGTACATATGTATCATGGCTTTATTTCAAGAGAATGGATAATCCATTTTTCATATGTGTATAGAAAAGCTAATTGTCTTTTTTTTTGCTAATAGAAAAGCTAATTGTCTTGCTGATGGATTAGCTCACTCTGTTTTTTCCCTTCCTCTAGGTGTCCAGTTTTTAGATTCGGTTCTACCTAGTTTAGTTTCGATTTTCAGTTATGATATGATCGGTTCTGCGCATCCAAGAAGAGTTTGTTGTAGCTGGTTTTTATGTTTTGAATAAAATCAGGAGACAATGTCTCCCCCACCCCCCTCCTACCAAAAAAAACTATAGTTATATTAATAATAAATTATTTATTTATGTGTTATGTGGATTAAAATTAAATTTTGTAAATACAAAAATTTAAAATTTAAAATAAGATAATATAAGTTACGTGCAAGTAATTCAATATTATAGACACACGAGTTGTTATTGTAAAATATGATAATATGATATTGATTTTATATGAATTTATGTTTTTTAATATTGTATTTAGTTTTTTTTTTCTTCTCCTTCTCCCTTCTATTCTTTCTTCTTCATTTATATTATCTGGTTTTTTCTGTTTTTCTTCTTTTTCTTTTTTTCTCCTCCTTCTCCTTCTCTGTTCTTCTCTCCCTCTTTTTCTCCTTCTTTTTCCTTTTTCCCCCTTCTTTTTCTTCCTCTTTATCACTATTCTTTTTCTTCATAATTTTTTCTGAATTATTCTTCTTTCTCTATGTCCTTCTTACATTTCGTTCTTTTTCTCTTTCATTTTTTTTTCCGTTCCTCCTTTTCTTATTTTCTATCCTTCCTCTTCTTCATGTATGCTTTTCTTTCTTTTTTTCTTTTTCTCTTTCATCTTTTTTTTTTCTTTTTATGCTCTTCTCCTCTTCTCCGTTCTTTTTCTTTTTCATCTTCTATGTTTTTTTTTCCTTTTTTGTCTGTTTTTCCCTTCTTCTTGTTTTTCTTTCTCTTTCTATTTTTAAACATTTAATTTATCCATATTAACTAATTTGCTCATGTTTTACTTTATTGTTGTTTTCTAAACGCAACTTTTATATTTAAAGATATAATATATTACTGATTTTATATATAATTTGAGTTCTTATGGTGTAGTCGATTTTTTACAGATTTAAATATCTAGTTGTAATTTTGTTAACCACACTATTATTTTTATTTAGAAATATTTATCTCATATGATAAAATCGTATTTAATTTTTTAATAAGAATATAATTTATCTACTAATATATGCTTTTTCTCAATAATTTTTTTATTTAGCTTTTGATCAAGTGTTTTTTTAGGTTTTTCAGCCATCTTTTTTAAAATAGATCATGTCTCCTATTTATATATATCTTTCGACAACCTAAGCGGCAATCTCGATGAATATAGTCATAGATTTTCTTCTATTTCTCTTTACAAAGCCACTTCCGCAAGGCTAAATCATTCTAGGGAAAATCACGCTTTTAGATGTCTTCTTGGGCTTATGACTCAGCTCACATGTTTATTGCTTCATATTGGGACTCGTTCATCATCTCCTAGGCCCATCAGAGAAATGGCTCGATTCCCACTTGGTTAATTTTGTTGGTTCGGTTCAACAGGTAGATTTGTCCTGTCACCCCGGTTCGGCACATCTCTTTGGTTTGATAACTAAATGGTTCGGTACATATTTGCTGACCTCGACTCATCGGTTTGGTTTATCTTGTTGGTTTGGTCCACCTATCTGGTTTAATGGACATGAATGGTTTAATCCGTCTTTATCGATCCAACTCGTTGTTTCTGCTCAGCAGTTCGCCAGTTCGGCTTGGTGGTTTGCCAGCTCAGCTTGTCAGTTTGGCTTATCACCTCTTCGATTTGGCTATGCTCATTTCTATTAGTAACCTTTTCTTTGTTGATTTCGTCATAGTGGACACCGACCCCAACAATCTTCTCTTTCTGTTTCTCCTGCTTCTTCTTCTTAATACCTTCTTCTTCATCTTTTCTTCTTTTCTCCCTTCATTTATTTTTGTTCTTCTCCTTCTCCTTTTTATCCATTATTTTTCTTTTTTTTTCCTTTCTTTTTCTTTGTTTTTCTCCTTCTTCCTTTTTCAGATTACCATGAAATTCTGGGCTGAAGCCTGCAATCTCTGCAGGCCTGAAACAACATCATGTAATATTAGTTGAATCCCAAGAGTCACTCGGTCATGTGATCTCTAAGCTTTGCCTAGATCCTTTACCAGTCGAGCTAACGACTCTTGGTTACTCCTTCGTCTTCTCCTCAATCATTTCTTCTTCTTCTTTTTCATCCTTTCTTCTCATTCTTCTCCTTCTCCTTCGCTGTTCTTCCTCTCTCTCCTTCTTCTTCTTCTTCTTCTATGTATCCATATTCTTCTTCATCCATTCTTCTCCTTATTATCCTTCGTCTTCTTCTCCTCTTCCTCCTTCATGTCTTCTTCTTCTTCATCCATTATCTTTCTTTTCCGTTCTCTTTTTCCGTTTTTTTCATCTTCTCTGTTGATCGTATTCGTTATCACTTCTCCTTCTTCTTATTCATTTTTTTTCTTTTTTATCCCTTCTTATTGTCCTTTCTTTTCCTTCTTCTTCGTTATCACTTATTCTCCTTCTTCTCATGTTCTTCTCTTTTTTTTTCTCTTTTCTTCTTCTCTGTTGTTATTCTTTTTCATCTACTCTTCTTCTCATCTATCCCTTCGCTTTGCTCTCCTCCTTCGTCTTCTCCTTCTTATTTGTTCTTCTTCTTCTTTGTCAAACAAAAACGATAAATTTAAAACTAAAAAGATTAAAAATAACAATCATATACATAGTAAACAAACTGAAACAAAATACTTAACATATAAGAAATTAATTTTGACTAAAAAATATTGATGTTTGCAAAAATATATTTCTTTTTAAATCTAAATAGAGAAAACATTTAGCCAAAACAAATTAGAGAAAATGAGATAATGTGAGTTAGTGTTTTTATTTCCCTTATAGTTTATTGAAACACTATTATAATAAATAGTTATATTTTGTTAATTGTAAATTTTGAAATTTTTTTTATTAATTTACTGACTTATTATTAATATGTTTTTACATCAACAATAAAATTTATCAATATTGTTTGTAATGTTTTTGAAAATATGCTAAAACACATACTTTTTAGAATATGCTTTAAATTTATGCAGTTACTGTTTCTTAATTAAAAAAATATTTTGATTTTTTTTAAAAAGCTTGCTCCATAATTTTAGTAATCGAATATTAATAAAATATTACAAAATCGATTCATTAGTTATTTTATAGAACTAAATAAAATTTAAATAAAATTATATGGTTATTATCATTTACTGTTAATTAATTATTATTTTTTAAATTTGATCATGATGCTTTTAAATTTAAAATTAATTTAATCAAAATTTACTTTAATATTAGATCGCACTAAAAATATAACAAATAATATATAATTATTCATAAAAATTAGGTTTTAGTTTACTTTCCTACAAACATATGTGTTTGGTTATATTATTGCATAATAATAAGAATATGATTTTTGTTTTTGTAATAATTATTTTGCAATATTTTTTATATTGTGTAAATATATATAATTTAATTATATATATTTATTTTAATTATAATTGTTATTTTCTTATATATTTACATAATAATAAATATTTGAAAAATATTATTTGTTATTTTTTTGCAAAATGTTTTAAATTGTATATATATTTATAATTTAATCTCATATATATAGTGATTATAATTGTCATTTTTTATATAAAGTTGGTTGTAATTAATTATATGATTAATTAGAATTTTCGAAATAATTATTTATGGAAAAATTAAAATTATTTAAATGTGTTTGGTAATTGGAGTTAAACTAATCTAAATAATATTTAAAAATTAATGTGTTTGGTAATAGGAATATAAGAATGAAATAAAGAAAAAAGAAAATAGATATTAATTGGTTGTATTATTAACAAATGACTAAACTACCATTAATGAAATTCTAA